TGCCACGAAGACAAACGTGGACACACAGTCTATGAAGGTAAGTAATTAAACACAGCCTGAGCTATGAAACAAATGTGGCCACACAGTCTATAAGGGTAATGCTAACCAAACGTGATTTAAAACCACAAAACAAACACATGTAATAAAACTATAAATATCAAACATGAGAATAGAGCTCACGAAAATCAAACTAGCTAATCTTTGATCATGACGCGCCAAGGGTTAACAGAATTTCCGTTAGCAACTAGTGTTCTGTATAATATCTCCTTCAAATTTATTTTCAAACATGCGAGAAAATCATCACTATAACATTAAAAACTTTTGCCAAAATAAAATTTCATAACTAGTGTCCATCTTTGACATTTATTGAGTACCCAAAAATAACAAGAGTTGATAGAAATAATTTCATCAATTTTTAAAGTATTCTTCGTAAAGAAAAACACATACGCATGCCATAATTTAAATATCTTTTGACATCTCTTTATAATTTCCCAAGATAAAAAAAATTAATAACAAAATATTCAATAATTAACATAGTTGTTATTAAAATGATTTACATAAATATAATATTTTAGGAAAATAATTTTATGGGTAAAGCAGTTGGATGCTATCCACTTACCTGAAATGCTCCCAAATTCTAAAATTTACTCCAAACAACTTTTATCAAATTTTCTCTTCCTTCATACCCCAAGCATAGCCAAGGAGGGACGATGGAAGAAAATCGAAGCTCCCACATCCTCATCAATCAGGCTTCGAATAGAGAGGAGGAGGAAAATCCGGCCACATGTAACAGGGGAGGAGAAAGGTGATCTCACATCCCAAACCTCCAGCAGTAGCAGCGTGGATGAAGCTCCAGCATCCACTCATGCCGGTGACAAGATGGAGACGAAGGAGGAGTGGTGAAAGAATAGGACAAATAGAGGAGTTGATGATCGGGTTCAGATCTGTTTGCCCCCTTTTTCTCCTTCTGATCACACAAAAAAATCAGGAAGGGAAGGAAAATATTTGATATACATGGTCCCCTCTAGGTTTTCTTTAAGGGGTATAAAGGTAATTTCGTAGGGTTGAAAAAAAATGATTCCTTGTGCAGGAGGAAGATTCAATCTTGTAACCTTATGATAGGATGCAAGCAACATTTCCACTAGACCACTAGTCTCTTTTATTGTATCACTCCAAAACTATATAAAAGTACACTTAAGATATTTGATTATAAATTTTAATTAATAAATTTTTTTTTTTTTTTGACAGGGTTATTACAGTCACCTTCCCAATGCATATCTCAAGTACACATTATCCCCGCCGCACGATCATCACTTGGATCTCTAAGTCACATCACTTGTCATGTTAAAAATTTATTTTAATTCTCTTTACTCATGACATCATTTTGTCTTAAACTCAAGAATTCTATCTTTTCATCAGCATGTTTTGCCAGTTGAACTATAATGTCTTTTCATTCTTAATACGTAAATTTAACATACTATTTAATTAAACACTTATACTTAACTTAATGTATTTATTAATATATTTAATATATTATTATTTAAATATATTGATAATATATATTATTTAATATCAATATACATACATACATACATACATACATACATATATTGAAAATAAATATTTGTTTATATCATTTTATATTATCTATGCTATAATTAAAATATTTTTATATCATAAAATTTTTAATTATATATTTAAATTTACATAATAAAAATATTTTTTATTCTTTCTATATTATCTTATATTATATATTTTAATTATAATAAGAGAAAAAAATTATTTGTGCAATTATTTAATTTAGTAATTATTAATATTTTATTCATGTAATTCACTCAATGAATATTATAAATATAATTTTTTTTATTTTTATATAATATTTAAGCACATTTTATTAATTTTTAATTAAACATATCTGTAATAACGCCAACAAAATTTAAACTAAATAAATAAATAAATATATATATATAGGGTAACTTACTTAAACTGTGTTTATATTAGTTTTTGGGATAAATATAGCAAGTTAGAGACTTGGTCAAGTGGCAGCTAAGGAAGGCTTCATATAACAGGTTCCCAATTCGAATCCGGATGAGTACAAAAGAAGGGTTGAATTTTTTTTTATTTTTCTGGTTATGCGAAATTAACATAGTGAGAGTGATTATTTGCATCTCTCTGATCAAATATCACTTGTAGCAAATGCTCCTTTTTTGGACCATTCTTTGGAAAATCAAATTGCTTCTCAAAAGCAACTTTTATACATCTAGAAGTTAATTCACTTGGCAATTCCTCTTGGTAATGTTCTTCAACATCACCATTTAAATGTTCAATCACATTGTGTTTTTGGTGTTGTCTGAGTCCTTGAGTCCTCAAACCATCTTTTTTGGGATGTCATTATGTAAGATCAATTTGGTTTGGAGACTTATCCATTAAGTTGATCTATCTAACTAGATAATATCCAACTTTTTGGAGTTACATAACAATGGCTGACACCAACAACTCAGAGGAATTATCATTTTCCTCCAATTTAATTTGGAGACAGCAGAATCTGGCTTTTCATAAAGGTGTTGTTATACAACCTCCAGGAGAGGTAATCGAAGAATTCCATCACTTGAGTTACTATCTAATGGAAGTTTGTCAGTGGTCTCCAGTTCTTCAGAACCCACCTTTTGTTGCATCATTATTTCAACATTGATTTTGAGCAGAACTGTTGCTGAAGTTGCTCACGTCAAATCGAATGTTAGAATGAAAATTAAAATACAAAACACATGGTTTACCATTCTGCCTTACTATGATTTTTGTTAATGGAGATCATCTACACAGCTATATATGGAGACGTTCAAACAACACAGATCCAGACTGATTTAATCTTTTATGTATTCGGAATGTGTTAGCCTGGATCATGGAACTTACGAGATGAATTCCGTGTAGGACAAGACGGCATGTTATTTTAATGCTTTCAAGGAAGGCTGTGCATTGGTCTATCTTCAAAACATCATCTTCATCAACCTTTGATGCAGGACATTCCCAAGATTGCTTGCTAGTCCCTTTAGTTCAATTATTTTCAATGTATCTCTTGATGATCATCTTTCCTATCATCCTCTTTCTTGAAATTTTGTAAATACTTTAATGATATAACGTTTGTTTTTCTTTACTGTTACATTTGGTTCCAAGAGGAGGAGGGATCCCCCCAATTTGGGGGAGGATTTGGAGGGGCTCCCAACCAAACAAGCTCTAATAGTATTGATCTTTTTATTAAAACAAAAACTAAAAGTTCCGTTAAGATTATTGATATTTTTTTATTTTTGAAAAATATAATTCATTGTAAATATATATATATATATATTAATCTTTAACTAACAATTAAAAAATGAAAATTTCAATAAAAAACAGAAAAATATTAAATTTAATGCATACTATACTACTATTCAAATATGTAGGAATATATATACTAGGCTGGAAAAAAAATAGAAATGTACTGAGCATTCTTAAAGAATACACACAAACACATATATGCTCACACATTTTCTTTTGTCTTTTTACTATTATACACATTTTCACAAATACGTGCGGTGCAGAGAATCTTTTTTTCCCCCTTTTTTGGGCCTGAAGGGGTACAGTGAATATGGGCTATTGGGAAACTAGAAATTTTCATGCATATAGTGGTCAATGGCCATTATTTGAAAAGGTATGATCCAACGATATCATGAGATATGCATGTAGTTAAATTATTATGAAATTTGGATGATAGACATCTTTATTGACTCAAGTTGACTTGATTGGTAAGGAATCCTATCATTTAATTAAGCAGGCGATTGGATATTCGAATTTTAATTCTTGGATACGGAGCATCTTAATTGAAAGCAGTTTATCATTTACCTTTAATCCCCGAGGAAGATAATTTCTATTTTTATCGGACTGTACTTGTACTCACCAAAATAAATAGGCACATTTTTGTTGTTTTTTTAGTTAAAAGGCACAATCGGAATTGAAAGTAATGGAATAATCAAGCTCCATACTTCCAAAAGTTTTATTTTTTAATTTTAAAGATAAAATTAACACTCATAAAAATCAAAGCAATAATAATATTAGGATATTTGTGATATTTATTTATCATTGATGACGTGTGAAATCATAAATCATTGACGACATGTGAAAGAGTATTTAGTTAAATTTGCTTGGCCAAATATTAGTTTCTTTTCGGTTGCCAATCCAAAACAAATAAATTAAGAAGAAAGTGAAACGTTCAACCACATATCCGTATAACAATTAAAAAAAAGGGAAAATTACATCCAAAGATCACTCAAGCAAATTATTTACAGAAAAGGACTACCAAGTCTCATTCTAAGAAACACAAGTCACATTCTTATTTTAACGATAATCTATTTTGCACTTATCTTCATCTGAAAATAATTTTCTTGAGGGATCCTTGAATGTGATTCTCCCTAAAAAAACATTTTATCTCAAGGGTTTTGTTAAGATTCTATCCAGGGGGTTTTGAGATTTTCTCAATTAACATTGCTGGAGGATTGAAGATGCAACGAATGGTTATATTAATATTATGCTATCTCTGTTTTTCTTTTTTCTTTTTTTCCAGCAATAATATTATGCATCCCATATTAATAATCACGGGCAGATGAAAGTTGAGAGTTGTAATTAAGCAACTAGTCATGGGCAGTATACCAAGAAATGCACTGGTAAAAGTAAATCAGAGAGGAAAATATAAATGAGAGGGGGAGAGATAAGTTATAAGTAGTAAATATTAATATTAACGTTAATATATAATTTTCAAAAAATTATTAATATATAAATAATATATAAATTATATCAAGACAATTCACTTCCATTTCTTTCAACTTGCATCAAGAAGGGTTACATGACAACCTTAACACACGCAACCACTTTTCCGACGAAAATGATTCAAGAATTCATTGACGGATTTAATAGAAAAACACACACATACATGCACAACACAGTTCACAAAGCATCGTACATACGAGTTCTCATTTTCTGAATTTTTCAACTTCACAGATTTTTGTAATGTGGCATTCAATAATCAAAGTATCATTCCGATAGTAACCATTGGTTGCATCTTTTAATTCCTCCAGCAAAATGAACTAAGGGTATCCCCAGCTAAAGTTCCCAATGAACCACTTACCACCTGCAAAACAAGGAAACACAGAACAAATAAATTAACTTCCTAAAAATTAAATATGAAAAAAGACTTATTATTCTCAACACAACACACTAAGCTTACAATATCATTCAAAATACTACTCCTTCCTTTTTTTAATATATGCCATTGTAAGTCACATTCTAAAGGTAATTGATGATCCGATCCTCACTTTGCATATAGGAGAAAAATGTTTGTAAAAATGATATAAAATTGGAAAATTTCTTTTTAAAAGAATATTAATGATTTAAGGAGATCGATGTAGTTACAACCATAAGCTATCAACTAAACTAAAATGTCAGGAACCAACACAAATGAAAAGTATAGAAATTATGTACACAAATTGACGTACCGGTGTTCCGTTCCTTACTTTTCAAGGGTGGTTGTTGATTCTTAATGCGTAACGTGTACTCCACAACCATTTCTTTCTTGATGTGGTGCTTTCACCTTCACTCAAAACCAGAAAAATTGAAAGAAACTCATATTTGGGAGTCCTACTGCCGTTTGGATGAACTCTCAATTTCCTTAAAAACACACGACAGGAAAATTTGAAGAATTAGAACTGCAGATTTCTGATGATTAAAAAGACAAAGAACAAAGCAAACAATGAAATCACATCGCTACCATTTTGCGCCTTCAACAGTGAATGATTCGGAGTCACAATATTCAGTTCCAATTTTGGAGAAGTTCGTTAGCTTCCATGTGTATGTACCAAATGATGGATCCTTAATCGCTGGGGAAACACATTCCCAATTCCCACTATATTCGTGTACGAAGATTTCAGTTCCAAACACGCATAAATCATCAACAACATATCCATTAGCGACATCTTCCAATGTATCCGTAGGAACCAGTTCATCAAAACCCCACTCTGTCTTCGCCACATGAAAACGTTTCAACTGCTTTCCTTCATCTGAAAATAAAGAATATTTCGTCTGGTTAAAATTAATTAAACATACAATCCATGTATTGAAATTTCAATGGTTCATGAGCTCCTCATTGAACTAGTGCGAATGAATTGGTTTTGACGTCATCAATCCATGAATATCCCAATAAAAAAATTGTAATTATTGTAATAATACCTTCAATGACCAAGTACTTGTCATGGATCTGATCATAAACCAAAAATTTGAAATGAACCAACACTTGCCAACCAGCAGGGAGATCCTCAGTTTTTGCTATTGCTAAGTAAAGTGAGATATGCCTATCCCTTTTGGCTTCATTCTTTCTATGAGGATACAAAATCATCTTCCTGATGAAAAGAGATCGAGATTATTAAGTAACAAATGAATTAAACAAAATATATTCTAAACGAAATAATTGCACAAAGTGACAGAATTCACCAGTTGTAGCCACTGGCTTCAAACACGTGAGATTCATAGCTTTCGAGCCCAGCCAGTGCTGAATATGACTTTATCTTAATCAAGTAGTGTGCTGGTCCATGTTGTCTATCATATCGAATGAGTCCTGCACAAACGTTGTAAAGGAATTCGTTATGTACCATATCCACATTCGGTAGCATCACTTAAACGTTGCTGGTATTAGACGTATACCGTTAGTATTTTCCATGCCGAACGGATCTTAGTTTACTATTCTTCGCAATTTTGTGTGAAGACTCATAAGACGACGTACTTCATAGTTCATATATACTCGTGTGTGCGTGTAAAGAACCCACAAGCGTCTCTTCGATGCCTGGAATGTTAGTAATTCAATCCCCGAGGAAGGACTTTGAGAACGAAGGTGATTCAACATAATTTATGGTGATCATTAACAAAAGCCTCTTAGGAGAACAAAACGTCACCAAACAGTCTCCAAGGTTCATATAATTTTAAACTAACAATAAGGATTTAAAGATGAAAATTTTTTTACAATAAAAACAAAAATATTTAAATTAAATATATTCAAATCAAATAAATACATTCTTCTGCTATTCGAAAGACATAAATACTCATAAATGCTCAGGACAAGTTAGGTTAGGTGTAGCCCAAGATATATAGTGTTGGTAGGGGCAATTACCACTTTTTGGCTCTTTAAATCTGTTCTTTTGTGTAGAGGGAAGTGTGTAAATGATGTATTTTGTATCTTGAATGTGGTAAGTGGAGGACTGGCGTCTCGAAAGCCAATGAGTGTATCTGTGCTTGTGGCTGCGATATATCTTTATAATTATGATTTCTGTATTGTAACCAGGGAATAGGGTTTTAGTGTGAATCAGGTAGGTCTTTTGTAGCTCTGATTCAGTTCTTCATATTATTATTAATGTTAAAACCTCACGGTTTCCCTTAAACTAGTCTCTAATCCCGTGAACGCACGGGCATGACCTATATAAATTATTTATATAAATAGATGTTAGAAAATATAAACTTTAAAATTTCAATTCAATCATGATTTTTACACAGGTTTTAATATAAATATAAATTTAATTTAATTTAATTTAATGTGAAAGATGTTGTTAAGGCAATGAAACATCAAGTCAAAGTAGGAGATTTTAATTAATGAGGATTGCAACTCCTATTGAAGCAATAGATTATAATGACAACAAACAAACCATGGCAGACTAAAGAATTCTGTAATCATTGAAATGTATATTACCACTGAATAGGCAATGACAGTCTCAGCATGAATACAGTCTCATTTGATTCTTTCAAAAAAAAAATGAATTCACTGGAGATTTTGGAAAACTTCCTTAAAAACAACATTTGTTGTGACAATCTTCGGTTTGAAATCTTCATCATGTATAAGTATTTTAAGTCCATCCATTGATCTAACCCTGGAAAAAGCAACATAAAGCTGGTCATGAGAGAAAACAGGCTTAGGTAAATAAACACCAACATTTGATAAAGATTGTCCTTGATTCTTATTTATTGTCATTACAAATGATAAAACGCATGGAAACTGTCTCCTCTTCATTTGAAATGATAGATTGCATTCAGAAGGATTCAAATCCATTCGATGAATGTAGACTTCTTCCCCAGGCTTTGATCCATTAAGTATGATTCCCTTTATAAAGTGGTCTCCCAACAAAGTAACACGAAGTCTTGTTCCATTGCATAGTCCATTAGCTTGATCAATATTTCGCATTAGCATGATAGGAACTCCTACTTTAAGAGTCAATTTGTAAGGAGCCAATCCTGAACCTTTAATTGTGTTGAGGAATTCAGTGTCATAAATGTCGTCAAATGAATCTGAGCTGTAGTCAGTCTTACATATTGAATATGAACTAAAGTATGTAATAGCCTCACCTAGGAACTGTGATCAAATGAAATTATTTAACTGATCTACTATTTGTAGAGTTGGAGCAAGAATTGCTCTTTCTATAAAGAATTGTGGCTCATTGTATTTTTCACATAGCTTTGGATAAATGGAGTCAACAATAGCCTGCAATGGATCAGAGAAGTCAGTAATTAACAACTCTTCTGGAATAGTGATATCATATTTACCATTAGATGAACTGCTGTGATCTCCATCCCCAATACTGAGAAGCCATTTTGAAAACTTAGTTATTTTATCCATTTCACAGCTTGATGTTGTAGTATATAACCTCATCTTTTTTGTGAGCTTAAATATCTTGCATTGATACCAAAGATATGATGAGTTTAAAGATGCATTAACAACATCTGCTCTATCACCACCAGGCAGTACAGGGAGTATTTGGCGAAAATCACCTCCAAAGACCACAACCTTTCCTCCAAAAATTCTGTCATCACGCATTATATCTTTCATAGTTCTATCAAATGCTTCAACATAATGCTTCTTGACCATAGGAGCTTCATCCCACACAATTAAATCAGTAATTTGTATAAGCGTTGCAATAGCTGATCCATGCATAATATTGCAAGTGGAGTCTTCAGTTACATTTATGGGAATACAAAACTGAGAGTGGGCTGTTCTTCCAGAAGGTAGTAATGTTGCTGCAATCCCACTGGAAGCAACATTCAAGACAATCATTTTTTGGGACCTAATGAATACAGTGAGAGCATTCCATAAAAAAGTCTTCCCAGTCCCTTTAAAACCATAAACAAAAAAGAATGAACCTTCTTTTAAGTTCACTGCAGATAGGATTTTTTCATAAATCTCTCTTTGTTCTATTGTTAACTGTTGCTCAAATTTGTATCTCTCAAAAATGTACAACTCAGTATCAAAACTTAATTCTTCCATCATCAAGTTATTGACATTATCATAGTTAATGCTACATTCAGGCTTTGCCATCATTGGGAAATCATCAAGCGACCTTCCATTTTGCATTAACATTTTATTAATCTCTGTAAGAGAAGCATTTTCCCTATCTTTATTTAAAAATATTACCTGCAATAGAGATAAGGTCAACTGTGAAAAATAGAAACTAATTTGCATGTGGTTATAAGAAAACAAACAACCATATCAATATGCGTCGAAATATAAGTTATTTCATTAAAAAGACCCATACCAGAAGTATGTTGGTTTGCATATGGACTATAAAAAATATCTTCACAAATTAGACTTGATACTTCACTCCAAACATGTTCAGGCTGGCTAAGACAGTTATTCATCAACATGTATGAAAAGAATCTTCTAAGGTATAAGCTAGATGCCCAAACGGAAGCCTCTTTAATGGCATTTATATACTCTTGATCATCATCTAAAAGTCCTAGAGCATAGCATGTTGATCTAAAAGTTGGAAAGACAACATTATTAATAGTCCTCAACTCTTCGTATGACTTCGGACCCCTTACCTTAGTTAATAGACATCTCAGATAGTAACTTTCTCCCTGAGAAGGGAATGTTGAGAACCCTCTCTTATGTGATTTCCAGATCTTAGTTTTCTTGTCAAAAACATAATGAGTAGGAAATTCTGCATATGCGAGAGTTCTTGCAACATCGTCTTTTTCATCAGCATTCTTTTCCATCCAAGCTATAAACATGGATTCTTTTATAGTAGCTCTATCCATCAAGCTTGACATATTATCTTTTGCTTTGTATATTATTGATTGTCTATTAGGAAGATGGTAGCTTAATCTTTCAACTGATGGAAACCTATGATGGATATCAAATCCAAAAATCCTCCAAGAACCTTCACATGTAGATATATATCTGTAATTTAAATAATTTGCAATCTCATCAAAAACCATCTCAGAATTGCTATCGTTATTATTATTGTACAATCCTACTATAACCCTGTCATCCCCCTTGCTAACATACTTGAATAAATACTTTATTGATGTAGACTGATTGGTCTTCTCAACATTTATATGGGCTTGAAACATAAGCAATAACCTAGGATTGTAAGGTATATAAAATGATTGTCTAAAACTACCCCTTTCTTAATGATCCTCCTTCCATCAATCCTCCTATGATAAGTTGGATAACCTTTCTCATCAATAACAGTTTCATTAACAAATTTTTTGAGAAAGTACTTTGTACATTTACCATCTTTCATACATGCAGATGTTGGATTTGATCAACCACATGGTCCATGAGTTATATAGTTGCACACTAATTCATATAACATTGGATCTTGATCCTTATCTGGAATTTCTGCTGAGATTAATTTGTCTACCTCTTCAGGATTCTTTAGTTTGTCCTTATCTTCCAAAAATAGAATGATGTGAGCATGTAGTAGTCCACACTTTTGAAACTCAATTGTATAAACCTCTGTATCATTTAGAAATAAATGAGGATTAAATTAGAATCAAATGATTACCATAGTAAAAAAAATAATGAGACAAAACATTAAGTTCCCTAATAAGTTAAGATAGTTAAACTACTTGCTTTGACAGAACCAAAAATCTTTTCGTCCTTGATAACCTTCATTAGTTTGTTCAATTTGAATTGGAAGATTCTGCTCAACAAATCTGGACAATCACTTGGCGATAAATTCTCCTTCTCACAATATCTTTTAATTTCTGGCCATGCTGGATTACAAGTAAATGTGATGAAAATATCTGGATATCTAGCCCACCTCCATATTGCCATTGTATCATGATAGTTGTTTATCATGTATCTAGCTCCTCCTGTAAAAGAGGAGGGAAGAATAATTCTTTTACTAGTTGCAGCGGCTTCAGTTTCCCCTCTAATTAGTGCATCTGAAAAACCTTGATACAAGTCAACCCTTAGTTCATGTTGATGCATATGAATAAAATCTAAACGTTGACTCTCCATCATAGCATATCCATTAATTATAAACTGTTGTAAGAGCTTCCCACCATGAAGTAGCAGTGAAATTTCATTATCCCTGTCCATCAGTCTATAGCACATATACTCTCTTATTGAGAGAGTCTTTTTCTTTGAAGTGTTTGTTAGGCTTTCTTTACTATGTTGAATGTGAGGACTATAGCCATTATCTCCAAAAGGAAACAGTAAAGGGTATTGTAAAGGGAGATAGGACTTATGAATCTCATCTATTCTTTTCAATTGCCCATGTTTTTCAACTATTAGATCACATTTCTTGTAGTTTTCATCAAAGTCTCCAACTACAAGAGCTGTAACTTCTGAAGTAACTGGCAATGAGTAATTCCTTACTTGTATATTGTCTTGTCTTATCAATGCTATTTTAACTTCATCTTCTGGAAAATCTTTCAATACATCTCTTGCCCTTCTGTACTTCTTAACCAAAGCATTTTTTGAATCCAAAATCTATTTGATGTAAGAAACTATGAATGGATCGAGTTTATCCTGTCTTGAATTTTTACTACAGGAAACAATGCATTTGATTAAGAATAGTTTGTAAGTTAAAGAGATTAATGAGTAAGAAATAATTGTATAACATAATACCTCACAGCATTGATTCTATTTATAATTTCATTATCTATATCATAGATATACAGCTATGAATAAACTGGAGGAGCACTAAGTGAAGGTACAAGACTTCCTAGACTGTGGTAATTTTGGCCAGTAAGAACAAAAGTGTAAGGTCCTCCACCATTGTTTAAACCATGATTAATCTAACCCCCTATTGAAGTGAAACAAAACATATTGTTATATGATCTGATATTCTTATGAAAGGATTTGAAATATGGAAAATCTTTGTCAAACCAAAGCTTCTATAGCTCCATTGGTGGGTCTTTAAAGTTTTGAACTTGAACTTTACCATGACAGCAGCACGTTGAAAAGACAGAATTGGATTTAGTTGATGCACGCTTTAGTCGCTCAGAGAACCACATTTTTGCTTTGCAATGTTCACATGGGTATGTAGCATCTCCATCATCCAAGTACACTAACACAAGTGGAATTTGGATTAGTGAGATAGAAATGATCTTTAAAATACCCTACATAATTATGACAATCTAAAATGGGTAAAAATTGAATATATAATTACTTGAAATCCGATTTGTGCGAGGGTTAGGATTTTGTTCATACAATTCTTCAATAATAGTAATGTCTTTAGTAACTGTAAAAGAATTCACTATCAAAATAGAATTGATAAGAATACTAAAAATATTATAGCATTGTTTAACATCCATTACTATATTTATCAAGGATAAATATCATTTGCTTGGATATTAAAGTATGCAAAAGAAAAGAAATAAATGTAATTCAAACCTGGTAAGTAGGCATAATTGAAACTTTCATTAAGATTAGTTGAAATAGCTCTAACTGGGCATGGAATATGTGCTCTGGAATTATATGTGGATTGCAGATTTTGAGTAATGATAGTATTTTTACTGATGACATGGTTCTGAACAATAGGATTTGAATTCTCTTTATGTGGATATGAAGTAACTGGATAATGGAAAGTATTAAGATTAATGTGTTTTAATTTGAAGGAAGACCCTACTGAATGTTGGAAATTTGATTTGCTCCTACTTGTATTGCAATCAGATTCTGTGTGAACAAAGAAAAATACAAGATATATGATTAATATTGATATTGATATTAATTTCATGATTTGTAAAAATATCATTCCATATAAAATAGATATATTGACAGAATATTAACCATTATGTATCACTTTCAATAGTGTTCTACTCATTGTTGGTGACAGAAAGTGGAAAGGGACAATAGGACTATGGAATGATATTGTTGAGCTGATCGAATTTACAAGTTGATTAACAAATGGTTCTAATCTTATGACATTTGGAGCTTTCGCATATTGGTTCTTAGTAGACTGAGAATCTAAAAGACAAAGAAATCTTGTTAAGAACTTAGAATTAAAAAATATTTAGGCCATGGAATTAAGGACAATAATAATATTAGTTGAGGATGTTTTACCTTCATCAGCATCATTAAGTCGCTCATAAACAATTCTTTGATCTAAAGATTTCATCAACCTAGCTGCTTTCCTCATTTGAATGACTGAGTTTCCACCTTGAACTTTCATTGGTTGTGCAGTAGCTGAATACAAAAATATTTAATTTTATGTAATTAAAATTTAAACTTAACATCTAGTGGATTTAATCTTTATGCTATTGAGAAGTTATCAATTAATTTATAAGAAAAATATTATCACCGTTTGGTATCTCTTTAAATGGAGTTCTAATCAAATCTTTTGTCATTTCTTGAGTAGAAGCTGCATAAGGTGTCTGGAATGTCAGTGTTGAGGCAAATGGACTTGTAAATTGATTTTCTGCATAACCCTTCCTTATAGTGAGAGGTCCTGAAGAAGGCATAAACCATGACATGAATAAAAGATGATACAGTCATAAGGCTTGAAAAATAAGTATGACATCTATTTCTCAAATAGTTATGTTACCATTGTCAGTAGCAGTATTCTGATAACTAACATTTGCTTTAACAGTATATTTTGAAATAACCCCTGCTTTCCTCTTTTAAAGGATTGACTCCATATTTGATTCATTCTCATCACTTTTATCTATTGAAGGCAAAAATTGAAGAATTTTGGATGTAATTAATAGATCTTATAGTTTAAAGATATCATATATTACTATCTGAATGAACTAAATTTGCATATAGTTGAAAACTTAAATTTTTACCGTGAGAAGGTTTGTACACATCATTCATATTAACACATGCTGATGACAACCTAACTGCTCTCTTGGAAGGATTTACAGACTTTCCATAAACTTTCATATCAGATAAAATAATGAAATTCATTCAATCAAGAAAGAGATAAAAAATAATCATCATGATATTATGATAGTAGACTAAATATAATACTAAATTATAAGTTTCAAAGTGAAGCATAAATTTGAATGAAAGTATATAAGGAAACAGAGGAGACAAAAGAGAAGGGATAAAAACCACCTGAATTGTTCCGTTCTTGTTTGCTACTCATTGTGAGAAGAAGGAAGAATATAAGATTTGATCAAGAGAAGATTGTTTGAATGATAGAATAGATGAATGCCACGATCAAAGAGAGTTGTTTATGGCTTTTGTTCATCATCCAAATGTATGGAATGTAATAAACAAACTATTCACTTAACAGAAAGCTAGTTCGTGCAAGGATTTGTTCTATTTTCCCTTTAATTCCATATATTTAATCATTAAATTTTCTAAATAATTGGTTGACTTTAAATCAGATTACCAATGAGCACGCTTTTTCTAATATCATTAATGTAAGACATTAAAAACATATACCTAATACATGTGAGATATTAAGAGATAATATAATTTCAGTATACTAAATGGACTTGCCGCATTAGATAAATGATCTGGGGAATGTGAGAAGTATTGAAAATAATATATAATATAAATCACAACATTTTATTGAAAAAGAATGTAGCATTGGTTTTCGAATTATCTGACCTATTTTCTAATTATACCTTAAAGCATCTTAACAACTATCATGATTAACTGTGATAGTATTAATTAACCACTATAACAAACAGCATAGGGAATTGGTTATCATTTAAAAAATAATGTAAAAAAATTAAATTACAAATTAAAAATATAAATAATCAAGGAATTAAAAAAATTAAAAAATGAATGTAAAGAAATCCTTTAAAATGAATTAAATTATGAATCCTGGATATTAGCAAGGAATTAAAGTTAAAGGAATTTAAAAAATGAATGTAAAGAAATCCTTTATACAAAATTTGATATATGAATGATTTTTTTTAAATTACAAATTACAAATATAAATAACCAAGGAATTAAGAAAAGAATTAAAAAATGAATGTAAAGAAATCCTTTAAAATGAATTAAATTACGAATCATGGACATTACCAAGGAATTAAAGTTAAAGGAATTAAAAAAATGAATGTAAAGAAATCCTTTATACAAAATCTGATATATGAATGTTTTTGTTTAAATTACAAATTACAAATATAAATAACCAAGGAATTAAGAAATGAATTAAAAAATGAATGTAAAGAAATCCTTTAAAATGAATTAAATTATGAATCCTGGATATTAGCAAGGAATTAAAGTTAAAGGAATTAAAAAAATGAATGTAAAGAAATCCTTTATACAAAATCTGATATATGAATGATTTTTTTTTTTCATTGCTGTACCAGGAGTTGTAATCCATGCTCTATGACTTACTTTTATTAATTAATTTTATTAATAAGAAACATAATAATTTAAAAAGTATGGACTTTAAAAGTCTTGTCCTGAAAATGAATAATCTTTTTATATTAACGTGTGATTATCTTGCATGTTTAATTCTATGTAAGCAAATTAATGTTTAAAATAAAGTAAATTGTTAAATGGAATGATTTTTGTTTCTTATTTGGTGTTGGGTAATCTGTCAAACATCCCATCTCATGGAACATTCTAATTGCATGATTTTTGCAATGAGTTATATGCTATGGAATTTAAAACTTCAACTGAAAGAGCATTTAAGTAATAACGGCAACATATAACATTCAAAATATAGCAAAGGAGGTTGAAAGATGGACATGGTGTACCTGTTGAACACACCTATGGTTCTGTCAGAGGAACAAAGACTAAACTGAAAGCACATAATTGAAAAGACAAAGCAAATTGATGGTTCTGACAAAGGAACAAAGTCTTAAGTGAGAACAACATAACTGAAATGACAAAGTAAATGAAATCAAGGACAGCAAAATAAAACAAAATGATAACAGGAGACAAATCCTATCAAACTACAGAATAAGTCACTTTTCTTTCTTGATAAATCGAGGATTTTTAGTGGAGCTAAAATTGGGTGTGGACATGGCACCAATCCCTACACCAACTTCTTCTAAGGACATATGCACGATGTTCAACCTGTTTTTGTGTTTGGTGTCAAAAGGATTAGCTATCTTAGGAGTTGAAAACTCTTCATCATCCAGCTTAGAATGCTAAAGAACTTTCTTCGATACAGATGACTCAAAAGGAGTAAAGATGATGCCATTAGATACAGGATGTGGAGAAGGAGTAAGCTGTAATTTAATGAAAAGAAATCATAAGATCCCTGAGAGATTATAATTGAACTCATAAAAATTTAGAATGAGAACAGATGTAACAAATTAACCAACCTGAATTTGGTCATCTTCACTTAGATTAACCAACTTTTTGATACATGGAGATCACATAATAGAGTAATTAGTAATTAATTTGATGAAAGTAATATTCATAAAACATAATCTTAAAACTGATAGAAATGTACCTGAGTTTATGTGTATGTAAAACTATTAACAATTTCTTCATCTACAGATTGTTGGGAGACACTAATACTAGTAGAACGGTTTTAAATATTGTAATCAGTGACTTTAAGCATCAATACCATTTCTTTGCCAACTAACTTGTTAAGAATTCTTGGAAATGAAGATGGTCTTCCCTGTAATATTAAAATTCATTTTTCATTATCGCATAAAGATTAAGATGGTCTATACATAAGACAAAACTATGATTCCTTTGACATTTCCAAATTTAAGACGCAATATCATATCTCCAGCATCACCTACAACTAACAAATTTGTTGGAAATAAAAGTGGTCTAATAATTTTACTCCATTATAATGTTTGGGATAAAAATTTTATCAATTACAAGTAAACACATATACTTTCTATGTTCTAACCTTTTTTTACATAGTAAGGAGGTCAGAAGTAGTTTTTTCAAAATGCTCCACAGCAAGACGATTGAAAAATACTTCTGAGCAATGTCCAGAGAAGTCACTTACAGTGTAATGAACTCTAAACCTAACAAATGTGAAGAAGCACCAGTCATCTAATTAGTTTGTACACAAATGAACTTCAAAATGAAGGAATAATTGTATGTGTTAGTCTGTCTACTTCTTCTTACTTTGGTTCTAAAACTGGGTTCTTCAATTTACAGGTGCAACAAAAAGATTGGTCATTCTCATCTTTTCTTGGTTTTGCATCACAAGGACGACGACCATCATAATACCATCCATCTGCAGTCTCCAGCTTCAAAATTTTGTACTTTATAACAACTTCACTTTGCTTTTTTTTCCCATTATAGCAGAGAAATAAAGAATCAGATGATATTGAATTAAGTTTCAAAGTTGAAGATAAAAAATGCATGACAGTGTAAAAGATATTACAATAAAACAACAACCTTTTCGAGTAAGACCAAGTTGCATATAGAAATCCTTATTGGAAAGGTGAGGAGATAATTAGGACTGAAATAATCAACTTTCTCAGTAGAAACATTGGAGAAGGCTTGTGAAAGTTCCTTAGAATTACTGACACTAATAAAAATTAAAGAGAATATCATAATTACATGAAGTGAAAAAAGATGTTCAATAGAATTAAGGCAGTTGAGGGACTACATTTTCAAGAGATTATCAACCTCCACAATAGGAGGATTGAAAAGGACACGAGTAGTATGACCACTATTACTAAGTTGAAGTTGAGCTGAATAAATGAAAAAAACAATAAATCTAGTTACTTTGCAATGTATAGATAAATTCGATGGCAAATTTTGAAAAGCCATAATTAAGTTCACCTCTATAGAAACCAACAGCACAAAGTTGAATAACAACAACTATTGGAGGTCCAATAGCAGATATTCTTGCTTCATAAGCTTTATATGCGCAATCACCAAATAATGTAACATTGATAGACCTCTCCTTGGGGAATTAGCAATTCAAAAAAAAAAAGAACCTTTGATGTGATATAGATGATAATATGATTATTAAAATTTTTAATATAATTGTGAATGAAATTCTAAAATTATATAATAAAAGTACTGAAAAATTACTGTTAATCAGCAATTGTGAATGAAATCCTGGAGTTTTGTTCTAGTCCGGACTTAATGTTCTTGAATGTGTCCAAATCCTTGTAAAAAAACCAAAGACATCTGAAATAGTAACAAAAAATGTGATTGGAAATTGTGAAAGTTAATAATAGTACCATATCAATATTCATCAGATGCAGAACATGATTAAAGTGGGAAATACCAACTAAATGATCAATATTTGTTTTGGATTTTTTAGTGTCAGCTTTACTAATAATCTCATGAATAGGGACAGAGTTGAAGCCATAGGTAGGAATGTCAGCCTGATGCTTTTGGACAAATGTGTTTGCATGAAAGTTAATCTTTCAAGGATGAGTGATAGCCTTGTTTTCTGTATTTGGAACAACCCCAAAATTCTCAATGAAGTAAACACTTCCTTCAGCAGGTTCACTTTCAAATTGTTTGAGGAGATATTTGGATTGTAATAAAGTTTGAATCTAGCTTCCCTATACAGATCAGGAAAATAATACATTAAACGTCACTATGCAACATAAGTGTCTATATTACAATCCTACTCAAGTAATTTCGCACCAACAAAAGGAAAAGTAATACAGAATACCTTCTCATCCATCAATATGATGGACATGTTCCAAGTGCTGTATGGAGGTTTTCTCTGGAATAAAGGCCACTTCCTAAATACCCTCACTACAATGCACCAAGTTTCTTGAGAGTCGTTGATATTTTCTACCAAGTCATATTCATCAAATGTCAGATCAGATGCCATTGAGTTAGATATAGTCAAGAAAGGTAAAATACAGATCAAAAAAATATTTTCTACCAAAACACATACTTCCAACATGTGAATAGGTTACTTTTATATTAGGATAGAATTGTAGGAATTATAGGAAGTCAAGAGTCAGATAACTCGTGAACTTTCTTATTTCTTTTTTCTTAATATTTGAAGAAAAAATTGGTATTGGAAATGAAAATGCATTGGAAGGAAGTAATTGAAATTGATGTAATCTGGTAAAGTACCAAGAAAATTATGAGATATGCTGTAATTGGAAATGGAAAATTGTCATGGGAAATTGCATACAGAAAAAATTAGATGGGAAGAATAACAAAGATTAATTGATACACAAAGACATAAATGAAAGGGGATTTCTGTTGATGTAAATATAAATGTTGAAAATCTCATAAGGGGCCAGAAAAATTATGAGATATACTGTAATGGGAAAATGGGAAAATGTCATGGGAAATTGCATACAAAAAAAAATAGATGGGAAGAATTACAAGATTAATTGATACACAAAGACATAAATGAAAGGGGATTTCCGTTGGTGTAAATATAAATGTTGAAAATCTCATAAGGGGCCAGAAAATTATGAGATATACTGTAATGGGAAAATGGGAAAATGTCATGGGAAATTGCATATTTTAAAATTCACATAAGAAGAATCATGAAGATTAATTGATACAGAGAGACAAAAATGAAAGGGGATTTCCAATGCACATAAGCAATGTTAAATTAAAAATGAACCTTTCCAGCTGATTAGGAGTTGAAAACGAACCAAATAACAATGGAACTTGTGAAACAGTTGCAGCAGAGTTATAATGAAGGCGACAAAGGAAGTCAATATTGATTGGGAATTCGGGTAGTTTTCATTCCAATTTGAAAACAGCTGCTATGTTTTAAAGCAGAATAATTTTTTTTTAATTCTGCAAAAGAAATGAAACCATTTCATCAGCCAATGGGAATTCAAAATATGCCAACCTGAACCTGTATTGCCCAATTGCTGATTAGAATAAATTTTAAGGCTAAGTTGAGTTAACCAATGAGAGACCAACAGCTGCACCAATAGCAGAATTGAAATCCACGAGGTTTGTATATGTAGAGTTGATTTTGCCTCAGCTGTGTTATTTCCTCTGTTTCAGCTCACTAAATCAGTTGGGTTGTATCAAATACCATGACCCATCCATAAATATAGTCACAGACTAAGAGAATCTGCACTACTGGATGGGAAAATGTTATCCATTCACGCGGTGGCTAATTAAATTATGTTAACTGCGCTTGAAAGTCCATTTTTCACGGTTCTACATGATGAGAATTATATTTAATTTGATTTAAAGTTTATTAAGATTTGATTTAGTATCTAGATTGTTATTATTTCTTTGGTACCTTAAATTTATTTTATTTTTAAGTATTATCTCAAATAAAATAAAATATTTAGCCTAGTTAGATACCTTATTTTCATCTTTTATATTATGATTTGATTTAGATTTAAATTTATTATTATTTTTATTTTATTACTTCTAGAGCTCTATAAATAACTTTAGAGTTCTGCAATTGTATTCAGTTTTGACATTTGGATCAGACTTATATAATTTTTCTCTTCCTCCTTTCTCTCTTTTCTCTCTTTCCTCTTTCACGTCACTATGCTTCAGTAATAATGTATGAAATTTTCTTTAAATCTGAGTCGAATTTCATATATTCATTTTATGACCGCCAACTGTGAAGTCGGCTTTATCTCATTCCCATATAAAAAATGCATTCTTCCAAGAGCTTTTCCTTTATCTGTTAACCATATGGCTACTTGGTTCTAATTCGACAGTATATAGTATCTGAATATGATCTTTGCTAGAAGCTTAACTTATATTTTTCTCATTATGTCACATCTCAAAAAACGGAAGTGACCAACACAAGATATGTATACAAATACACATCCCTTAAGCCCCGAGTCAATGCAATTTTCTTTTTTTTTTTCTGTAGTTATATTGGTATTGAATTTAGAACATTCTTAATGTTTTTCCTTCAAACAAAAATCTTAATATTTTCGTAGAAAATTTGACCAAATTTCTCTTGTATATAGAACCTCCAAAAAACTATACAATAAAATTCTCAAATAGAAAGTCACTGTAACTAAGAGCTCTGCTCTTTTCATAACAGATAAAATGTATAAAAAAATAAGAACCCTAACTATAATCTATGTGGAATACCTAATCATATTTTTCATGACATAATTCATAAATTTCATATTTACATTAATAAAAAAAATATTTATAGAACAAATTTCCACCCAGCTTAGCAAAAATTCATTTTTGATGAGCATGATGTACGGCGTCAACTATGCTATCTAAGACCAAAATAATTTTTCAATGAATAACGTCCCAACTATAACATTTTGTAAAATCAAAATGAATAAAATACAATAGTAATATAAATTATATGAGAAAGCAATTTCAATGTAAACAAATTTGTAAGCTTAAAATAAGAGTTTCATATGACTTCAACAATAAGAACATTTATATCTATAATGACAAAGCAACTTTAACATTTGATCTTGATAAATCAAATTAATTAAATAATAAATAAGAATAATAATAATATTTACTAATTGAAAACCATTAAATATGAAATCACCAATTAATTAAAAAATTTATATTTTTGGACATCTGTTAGAACAATTTACAAATATAGACACACAGTTCCATGAGGGTAATGCTAACCAAACGCGACTTAAAACCATGAAAACAAATGTAGGTACGAGACCTACAAATAACAAACATGAGTACGATACTCACGAAAATCAAACTAGCTAGTCATAACCATGGTGAGCCAAGGACTAAAAGAACTAAAAGAACTGCCGTTAGCAACCAGTGTCCTATATAAAATTCTCTTCAAATTCATTTTTAAACATGCGAGAAAATTATCACTATAAAAATACAATTCTCATTTTTAAAATCAAACTCACATGAAAAAAAACTTTGAGCATTAACAACTTTGCCAAAATAAAATTTCATAATTAATGCCCATGTTTGGCATTTATTGAATAACAAAAAATAACAAGAGTTGATAGAACTAATTTCATCACTTTTAAAAGTATCCTTCGTAAGGAAAAAAACACATACACATGCCATATTTCAAATATCTTTCAACATCTCTTTATAATTTTTCAAGATAAAAAAATAAAATAATTTAATTAACAAAGTATCAAATATGTAATATAATTGTTATTGAATGATCTATGAAAAAATATCCTGAAAAAGAAAAAGTTTCAATGATAAATCAGTTGAGATGCTATCCACTAACCTGATAGATTCCCAAAAATATAACTTACTCCAAGTCAATTGCTTAAATAATATGGCCGCTCCTTAATTCCCTAATACCCAATGTAATAGCATTGTTATTTTTACATACGTTTTAACCGAGTATAAACTCAAACTCTTTAAATTACTTGAAGTTAGTATTCATCAACCCAAAGGGCACATCCCCATCCCAAGTCCATGTCACATTAAAAATAAAATATTTAATATAAATTTTCCACAAATAGAATATAGTATTGGATTTATACTATTCTCCAAATAACAATCCGTCAAGCATATATAAAAAAATTATCAACCTTATCTTTCACATATAATATGTCAAGGTGAATTTAATTCATAGATCTCCAAAAATATCTAATCTGTCACACCCCAAAATAGAAGGTGACCGGCACAGGATGCGAACCACACATACATCCCGTAAGCCACAAATTCAAGGTTTATTTCATTTAATTACAAAAAAGTACTCAATTATTCACTAACATTTTAATACTATTACTACTAATTATTTCAACATCTCGTAAAAATTTTAACAGAACCATCTCTGTAAATAAGATCTACCAAAAATTCTGTATCATAAAAATTTTCCTCAAACATTATATCTATCAAGAACTCGGCTCCTTCAAGCAAACAGACAAAATGTATAATAAACTAAGGATTTTAATTATAAATTATGTGGAGCACCTAATCATATATCTCATGACATAATACATAAATTTCATATTTACATCAATAAGACATGTTTACAAAGCAAGCCTCCACTCCGAAAACATCCATCATTGGTAAGTAAGACGTACAGCGTCAATTATGCTATCTAAGACCAAAATAATTTTTCAGTGAATAACGTCCCAACAATAAATAATTTCACATGAATAAAATGAAAAGTTTGAAATAATTGTGTAAGTTAAATAGACAACATCTTTATAAAAATTTAATAAACTTCACAATAAAATGGCTATGTAAATTTCAAATAAAATCTCAAATTATTGAACTATCATATCAAATGTTAATTTCACTTGATTTTAAGAAGTCTTATAACGGAAATAAATACTTGTAAATAAATTACTCAATAAAAACCAATGGGATATCAAATCACCAAATAATCAGATTCATAACCATAGGGACTTATCAGAACAATTATCAAACGTGGACACACAGTCCACGAAGGTAAATAATCCAAACGTGGCTTGTGCCACGAAGACAAACGTGGACACACAATCCACGAGGGTAAATCACCAAACGCAGCCGAAGCCACGAAACAAACGTGGACACCCAGTCCACGAGGGTAATACTAACCAAACGCGGCTCAAAGCCACGAAATCAAACGTGAGTACAATGCTCACGAATAACCATCCCTCCGTTCCACGTGCGTTGGCCATCGCACGGGGCTAGCACCTCCTATAAACACCCTGCTAGCTAGGTGTACCATGGCGCACCAAGGGCTAATGGAACTGCCGTTAGCAACCAGTGTTCCGTATAAAGTCCCTTTTTAAAACCATTTTCAAACATGCGAGAAAATCATCATTTTCAAGATACAGTTCTCGTTCTCAAAATCAAACTCACATGAATACTTTTGAGCATTAAAACATGCCACGATAAAATTTCATATCTGAAGTCCATATTTGACATTTATTGCATAACTCAGAATAACCAGGGTTGATAAAAAAAATAATCTCATCAATTTTTTAAAAGTATTCATTATAAGAAAAAACATACGCATACCATAACTCAATTATCTTTCAAAACTTCTTTATAATTTCCCAAAATAAGAATTTAAATGACAAAATATTCAATACTTAACATAATTGTCATTAAAATTATTTGCATAAATATAATATTTCAGAAACTAATTTTATGATAAAGCAGTTGGGACGCTATCCACTTACCTATAATATGCCCGAGCATCAAAATTCATTTCTTAGAACTTCAATCAACTCCTCCTTTCTCTTAGCATCCTATTCAATATAAAAAAAGATTTAATGGACTTACTTTAGTTAAATAAGTTATTTTCTAATATTGAAAACACTATAGTGAATTGACTTCAAATCATTATAATTTAATCAACCAAATCTTAATTTCTTCCATCCTTTTAATACTTTACATGCCTACTTCCCATCCAACAAATTGCTTATATCTTAATTTGTTTTCCCAACCATTCTTTAAATTATGTAACCAAACATTAATCAGGTTGCGTATAAACATATCTAAATACACACACACACCCCCACATTTACTCTCTCAAGTCATCGAACATCTTTCATGCATATCAAGATTAAATAATTCAACAACACTAAGGTTTGTAAGTATCAACCATTAGATTCTCAATAGCTTAGCTAATCAATTCTTCCTCAAATCTCAAGTTAATACATCAATAACCTATACCAAGTATGTTAAAAAATTTTTTAGTAAACATTCAAAAAAATACATATTCAAGTAGACTCCACCCAACAGACATTTCATCTAACAACTTGTAAACATCAAATCTTAATTTATAATTCCAAATTAATTTCTTATTAATTCTCATTCTAGTCAAATTCTCAATATCAACCAATCTAACAAAATTTAATTTAGATTAGAATCCAGACCCATATATATATATATATATATATATGTGTATATATATATATAATGAAGCTTTGGAAATCACTTTCTAGCTCCCACAACAACACGAGCAACAGCAGTAGAATACTCTAAAAAAAAATTCTGTAATTTCAATATCAACTCACACTTTCTCTCACGCAAGTTCATCAAGGAAGAAAGCTGAAGAGTTCTCACCTTAGTTAGCCGACAGTGCACACACACAGAGGGAGGAAGAAAACTGAATCCACAACTGAACAGGGGAAGAAGAATATAGCAATATTTCTGCCTCAACCCACGAATTAATCCTTCCACAGCACCATATCAGCTCTTCCTTCACTTCCCAACCACAAACGAACAAAATAAAGGAGGAAGAAACCAAGAGGCTGTCAACCGAATAGGAAGAGAAGATAAGATTTTTGTCTGAACCAAAAAGAAGGAAAACAGAGCATCACTCACGAGAAGAAAAAGGAACTCAGCGCTGATTCAGATTGGCGATCAGTACACCCACTCCAACGACCTGATTTCTTCCATCAGCCAACGACCCAGATGTGCACAGCAAGATAGAACAGCAGCACGAAAAAGAAAAGGAACAGAGGCAGAGAGTATGAAGAAGGACTCGCTAATGGCAGCACCTACAGAGACACACTGACAGAAAAAGAACAAGAAGGACGTTTCCAACCGTCCACAGCCTCCAGAAACTCAGCCTTTTACGCACACCGACGACGTAGATACAGCAAGGAAAACAAAACAGAGATAAGAAGAATCATGGAGAACCTGGGCATTTTTGCAAGGCAGTGCTGAGCATCCACGACCGCCGGTGACACGGGAAGAACATTGGAGAAGGAAGGATGAGGAAGACCGATGGAGAAGACAGAGAAGCTCGAAATTTCTAGACCTAGAATTTCTCTCCCTCCCTCCCCTCGTGCTCTGTTCTTGACCGACCAGGGAAAGAAATTTAAAGAGATAATGTTTATTAGGGAAAATTACAAGAAACTCTATAGATATTTTTTAAAATTACACAAGAGGTAAGGGCATTTTGGTAACTTCATTCGATGCCAACAAAAATGAAATTTTCTCTAATATAGGTAAGATTCGAACCTCCTACCTCCAAGTAACAAATTACCATAGTTCCCACTAAATCATTACTCCTTATTTATTATATATTTAAAACAATAAAATAAAATATCTATTGAAAGAAAAAAAAATCATTTAATTTATCTTCTTCCTTTTTTTTGAAAAAAAAAATTTAAGGTTATTACATAATCAATATTCACAAATTTCAAGTCTCAAAGTAGAAAATAATTCACTTCTATACAAGCAACTTTTCAAAATAAAATCATTAGACCCTTGTGTAAGAGTTATTAACTAAAGGGAGTTCTCTTCCTAAACTCTGTGTTTCTCTCATACCACAGATAGGATGACTATGAAACTATCAAGAATTTAATATTCCACAACACCATAATTTGTACACCATAGTTTCACTATATAGCTTTAGCCATAGTTAGTTACCCATATGGGATAGGATTTTCTCTTAGACATTTTAGCAAATATCTTGAATGCATCACCTTACAATCACTGACACAAGGTTCCTAACCTTCAAATCTCCTACCCAAAAATGTTCAAACATCAATATTCAAATTTATCAGATTTTCTAAAACACAACTCCCACCAAGAATCAAATTTTTAAGATCAAAGAAAACTAACTCAAATTCTTCCTCTAATAGTAACTAGCGTACATAAGCAAAATTACATACCAAACACATGCTTGGCTCATATTTCAACTTGATTAAACCCCTCTACTCTTTGATTTCGGCATCCACTCATAGTTCAGCTTCACTTATGAACGAAATCTGGCATTCAAGAATGACAGTATCATTCATGTAGTATCCCTTCGTTGTATCTTTCAGATCAGGCAGCGACATAAAGTCACTTAATCCCCATGAATTGTCCGACGCACTGAACCATTTTTCACCTGCAACAACCCGTTTATTTTTAAAAAAAAATTACTTAAATATATTAACACAAATAACACACACTATCAAAAACCTAACATTCACTGTCCAGTTTCTCAATGTTAATATCTGATTCTTAACACGGAACGTGAACTCAGCATTCCATTTCTTTTCTGATATCGTCCCAAGTTCATTTTTCAAAATAAGAGAAGTGGACAGAAACTCGTATCTGAAACCCTTACCACCTTTTGGCTAAACTTTTAACTCCCTTAGAAACACAAACAAAAACATTAAAAATTCATATTCAAAATTAAATAAAAAGAACACAATTAAGAAAATAATGAAACAATTTACCATTTTTTGCCTCCAACGGTGAAAGTTTCAGAATTATACGAATCCGACCACATATTCGACAAGTTTCTTAACTTTCCACATATATGTACCATATGCTGGAGGCTTTAGTACAGTGGTAACACATTCTCTTTTTGCAGTACATTCGGCTACGAAGACCTCAGCTCCAAATGCACAAGAATCATCAAGAAGATACCCATAATTAACATCTCTGAATAAATCCAGCGAAAGCAATTCATCAAATCCACACTCCATCTTCGCCGAATAAAAACGTTTCAAGTGGTTTTGAGCATCTGTCACAAAAAAAAAAAAAAATTGTCATTGGCTATTAAACAACTATTTAGGTATCAAGCTATAATTATTCCCTTGAGCTCCCAGCCCAAACTAAGCTCATAAATAATTAAACAAAAATTGCGATACCTTGAATGACCATGTACTTGTCATTCATCTGATCATGGATGAAAAATTTAAAATGAACCCAGACTTCCCCATCAACAGGGAGCTCATCTTGGTCTGCAATCGCTAAGTACAGAGAGATATGACCATCCTTGTTGACTTCACTCTTTCCATGAGGATACAAAATCATCCCCCTGATGAAAATACAATAGATTTTGTGATAAATTAGGTATCACCTAAAATAAATGTAATAATGAAGAAATTAAGGTGCAGAGATATCAGTGACGACATTATTATTACCACCGATAACCACCAGTTTGAAATACATCAGATTCATATCGTTCAAGCTTACTAGCAGATAGTCCTGAATGTGACTTAATTTGAAGCATGCAGTGAGCTGGTCGATATTCTCTATGATATCGCATGATTTCTGCACAACAGAGACAATTTTTAACATTTTCCCTTTTATGATACTTGAAACACAAACTTTGTAAGCATCGAAGGACTACGTACCGTTGCAAATTGTAGTTCCTGACTGATTTCCTTCAACGTTGATCACTTCTTCGTTCGTCTCCTTCCTTTTCTTAGCGTTCTGCGCCATTACAAAGTCTGCAAGGTAGTGACGTGTGCTCTTATCTTGATGTGTGCATAATATGTCAATATATATGGAGAGAGAGATGCATATACCTACTAGATGTATGTTCGTGACTGGAAATATTCAAGAAAAGATAAAGTTATAGTGAGAATTAATTAATTAATTAATGATGATAATGATGGCCACCAAGAGGCACAACACATGTCTCTTTGTTTCCTGTGGAAAACTACTTAAAAATGTAATAACATGTTTTACACATTTTTGGAGATTGGAGATTGGAGAGATATAATATAGTGCCAACTCGTGTTATTTTAAAACACCTTACGCATGCACGAAAATTCCCATTTTCAAAGGAGTGCAGATTCTCTGTACTATATTATATTTAAGGGTGTTGAGGAATGCGTAAGGTGTTTCATCTCTAAAAATGTGAAAATCTTTAAGAATGTAATGCGATAAGTACGTTCCCGTTCAGTGAATAGATCTATCTGTCTGTCTATTTATTGTTGTCGTTGTTGTTGTTGTTTTATACATAAAAGCATGCTTGCTGGCCATAAAAAAAGAAAATGTGGGTTTGTTTCCTTCATTAACGGGAGAGAGGAAGGGAGTATAATATGGATTCGTAATTAATTTCTTATTCGCCAGAGGCGAATCCTATGTATTCGCGGTAGCTTCGCATTAATTTATGTTTTCTCAAGAGTTTTTTTTTTTTTGGAGTATTACTTTAAAGCTCCACACATCACAATTAAGGCCATTGTGATGTCAGTTTTTTAAACTTAACTAGTAAAGAACCCGTACGATGCACGGGTTTTATAATACAATTTTTATGAATAGATTTAAAAGAATAATTTGTAATATATATCTTATCCATATATATCATCTAATATATAATGGGATTGTGTAATTATAATAATTAATATTATATATATATATATATATCAAAGTAAAGTAAATAGTAAAAACTAAATGCATATTGTGTAAATGGATGCAATGGAAAATATATTAATAAAAATTCATAATTATTTATATCAAATTATCGAAGACATTTTTATAAATGATATTAAAAGTAATATTTCTGGAACAACCATTTTCATCAAGAATTAATATTTTTAGAGTCTCTATGCTTTGAACAGGAGAAACAACAACATATAATTGATTGTTGGTGAAAACATGATGAGATTTGCACAAACCAATATGACACGAGATCTAGTTTTATTTTTATTAATGAGCATTGCAAAGGCTAACATAATGGGAAACTTCTTGCTTTTTATAGTAAATGAAAAGTTGACAATCTTAAATCAAATAGATACATAGCAATACATGATATACATACTTTCGTCCTTGTAATTGATCCATATATTTTTCAAGCTTCAATAACATGTTTTCTAACTTATATAACTATAAAACATGTACCATTGTAGAACTCTATAAATTTATCAATGTTTCGATTTGCATTAAAGTAATTGGACCACCCACTTTAAGCTTTATTTCATAATTCAATATGCTTGACATTGTTATTTAATTTAAAAAATCTACATAGTGTAAGTAATTAATTATCCCCATCATCTTTAATAACACTATCAAAGTTTAAGTATACAACTCTCTTTTCGAGGAGTAGGACCAACACGTAGTTGTTTACTTTTTCAACAACAACCAACATAAGAGCTAATATAGCCCTATATTTAAAATATGAAGAATTATATATATTGGTAAGGAAATCTAAAAAAGTTGAATCAACAATAGACTTTATTGGATTATTTAAATCATTCAATAACAAATTAGTTAGGATCTTAATATTCATAAATCCTTCATTAGCTCCAACAACAGTTTCCATTACCAAATGAGATAACCCAATCAGTAAAATCCATAAAAGCACTAATAGATGCTCCATTATTTATTGCTAGTAGTTTTATCTTTATTATTAGTATAAGAAGTTGACAATTGTCTTAAAACAAAGAGTTAATGGTTGCAAAAATAATGCCTTCTCTTAACCCACTTAGAATAAAAGGAAGGCTAGATTTGCTTTAAGTCTTCATTAAACATAGCAACTTTTCCTTCAAAAAGAGGATCACCAGCTCATGGTTACTTAACTTTAGAATATTCTTTAAGCATTTGTCAAGAATTTCAAGACAAAACTTATGTGTCATTAGAGCCTCATCTCATCTAATCAATAACTTATGAACTAATAATTTAGTCAAGTTACTCCTCTGTTTCATGCTACATATAGTGTTTTCAATCACAGAAAGATAAATAAAACATTTGAGGGAATTGTTTATCTTCTTGAGTGTATTAGAGAAGCTATCTTGCTTGATGTTATACTGAAAACTATTTTATCTCTAGATCTTAATGAAGCATAAAGTGTCTACCAAACACACATTTTCCTAGTACCACCATATCCATAGAAAGAACAAAAATATTTCCTTTTTCAAATTCAATGGCATTAATAATTTTATCATAAATCTTCTTCTTTCTAAAAAGTTAGGCTTTGATGCAACCTTATCACTTCATCATATATTATGCAACCCTATTATAATTTAGTTTACTTCTTATTAATTTATTTTCACTTGCATTCAAATGTGACATGTTAGATAAAAATATAAGCTCGTAATCTTTAAGATTTTTTTTATTAGATTGTAGTATTTTCTCAATTTTAATTAGAGTTGGTAATATAAGTTGAGCCAGTGGGTCTAACCCTGCCAAAGAGTGATGCGTTGGGTTGTATAGTTTAGAGCTCAATTAGATGTTGGCCAGTTTTGGCTAGCACCATTTAACTCAACCCGTCAACCCATAAGCTAACTTGCTTATAATTTTCATTTTAAATTTTTAATTGTTTAATTATCCATTCCTTTCTCTTCTAATCTTCTTCACTTTATTCCAACATCTAATTAGAATAATCTTCCTTCTTTAATTAGTATAATATATGGCTAGAGTGAAATATATATATAGTATCTAATAACATTTATTTTAATTAGAGTAAATAAAATCATCTGATCATCTCCCTTCCATTTTGCTAAAATTACATGGGCCTCCCTTTTATTTTTAAAATCCACACTTTAGTCCAATTTTTAGTCCTGATAGGAATATTCAAGGAAAGATTTTAAAATACTTTAATTTTTTAATTTTAATTATATTAAAAAACCTAAGTATTAATTTTCCCTTATAATGTATTTGTCTATGCTCTCCCTCCTTCAATTTAAGAAACTTTAAATAATTAAATGTAAAAAATTTTAAAATAATTAATTTAAAAATTTTGTGATCAGATTAATAAAATTTAAATAAAAATAAGCATAAATTATACTAACTAATTTATTCTCATTATATATTACTTTCCTATTTCATTAAGCTTCTTGTATATGAGTGTTTAAAATATTATTTTAGATAACTTGTGCATTTACATGTTAAAACATTATTAAATACATAAGTTTGAAAAAATAAAAATTTTAAAATATGAATAAAATGTTAAGAAATATATATGCATTAAAATTTTTAGATATATTGAATGATTGTTAGATAACATACATACATACATACATACATACATACATACATATATATATATATATATAAAGGATATTTTTATTTAATATATAACTTAACAATCAACTAATAGTTAGGTGAATGAAAATAAAATTTTAAAATAGAAATGAGGTTTGTGTTTTAAAAATAATAATTTTAGTCAAGGTTTGTGTGTGTTTAAAAAAAATAAAAAAGATGTATATTTAATTACAATAAATTATAAAAGAAGAAAATTTATTTTACTCTTTAATTATTACAATATATATGTGGATGAAAATTCAAATTAATGTTGACAATCCTTTTGAAATTTTAATTTATCTAGTTTAAATTTCAAAATTGAACTTAAAGTCTTTTATATTAAGAACTTGGAGTCTTTTTATTATTAACTACATTATATTAGTAGTACAAAATAGCTTAATATATTGACCAATATTATTAATTTATCCTACTCCAATTATGGCATTACCAGTATTTTAAGTACTTCTCCAAGTTAAGATTAATTTAGTGAAATCATTTTACCAAAGGTATGTTTTAGAGATAATTTTTTGTATATTTAATTGGTCAATATTTTTTACACTTTTAAATTATTTAGATTACATAGTTAGATTTTAAATTTCATTGGTTAAGTAAAAATATCGTTGAATTAATTAATACTATTTTTTAATAAACAAATATAAATAAAATTATTTAATTAGAAAATATGAGTATTTTTAAATTTGAAACTTCACACAATAAATAATCAATATCTTACCCTTTCGACAATATTTGATTTTATGAAAGTTCATCAAATTTTAATATTTTATGATAATTTGAGTTTTAAAGATTTAAATATAGATGAAGATATGGATAAAAATAATTTATATTTTTAAAATATATACTGTAACTATTCTTTTTGTTTTGTATACATAAATATTTAAAAATTGAGTTTGAACATATCTACAAACCAACAATTAAACTTAACTTCTAAAGCATAGAATTACTGAAAGAATACTAAAAAAAAAATCTTACTTTTGTATAAATTAGTCATGCAAAATTAGACTCTAGGATGTTACAAAATTAATTAAAGTGTTAAATAATAAATTTTTCTCATAAACTCATTTTTTGTGTAATGTTTTCCTCTAATTTTTGAAGATAGTGTAATATCACCCATACAGTTAACAAATGATAACTTAGATCATTAGTTGGCCCAAAAATTACTAAAAAGGACCATAAAAATTACAAAAAAGAGACAAAAAATTCCCTTGATCATTATGTGTATTTTTTGCTCTTTGTCTATATTTTTGGATCCTTTTTCATAATTTTTCATTCACTAAAATATTTTATATATGATATTAGTGTAAATAATTAAAATAACAACATAAAATTTGAATTATATTTAGTATAAATAATTATTATGAGTAATTTTAAATTTTAAAATTTGAAATAGAATTCATCTTTAAAACTCAAGTCAATATATCTTTGATTACTTAAAATAAGATGCTAATTCATCAATA